GCAGAGTGGCCGTGAGTGGGGGATTGAAGCTGCCGATGCCCTCATCGAGAATGGATACAAGCAGTGCAGGGTTGATCCGTGTGTCTTCCGGAAGGTGGTGGATGGAGAGGTCGTAGGTCTCATCGTGATCTACGTTGATGATATCTTAGTGGCGGCAGACGAGGGAGAGCGAGAGGAGTTGTTCGCTTCCCTCAACAAGAAGTTTCCGGTGAAAGATCTGGGGGAGTGTACCTGGTACGACGGGTGTGCTATCGCCATGGATGTAGAAAATGGCATCACCAAGCTGTCCCAGACAGCATACATTGAGAGTATGCTGAAGCGGTTTGATGTGACCACGACCGCTTTCACCCCTGTTGCCACCGATGCCAACCTAGGGCCGAAGAGAGATGACGAGCCCGCGGTGGATAAGCCTGTGAGGGAGGCGATCGGATGCCTGATGTGGACGAAGCTGACGAGGCCAGACATCGCCCTGCCTCTGAACAAGCTCCAGAAGATCGCCCACTCACCCACCGGGAGGATATGGAACGCGCTTGTGCGGATCATGTCCTACCTGAACTTCACGAAGGACTTCGGCATCACCTACGTACGGGGGTCAGGACTAGACCTAAGCGTGTTTGTCGATGCCAGCTACGCTGACAACGAAGTAGACAGGCGTTCTGCGACCGGGCTAGCTGGGACCCTAGGTGGTACCGTAGTGTGTGCATCCACCAAGACGCAGCCAGTGACGGCTCAGTCGACCTCGGAAGCAGAGTATATGGCAGCCGGGGAGGGCGTGAAGGAGGCGTTGTTTGTGCGTGGTATTCTGTCGTTCATAGCGCCCGAGACGAGTGGGGCGAAGATCAAGGCCCTTGAGGACAACAAGGGGCTCTCGCCTTAATCGAGAACCCGTTCAGCTCAGCGAGGAGCAAGCACATCGACGTGCGGTTCCATTTCATTCGCGAGCTATTCAAGTCGGGCAAGATCACTGCAGAGTATGTTCCGACTGGAGAGCAGCACGCCGACATGCTGACCAAGGTCCTTGGCAGAGAGAAGTTAGAGTACCACCGGAAGGCTATGATGAACCTACCGATGGAGTGCTCTCTTGTTCTGTTTGGTTTATGTGGTGGTTTTAGCACTTGGCATATATGACCATGGTACGTCAAGCAGGAAGCGTTGTGCCGGCGCGTCACCCGCGGCTGGAGCCTAGAGATGCCGAGAGCGTTGCTTCGGGTGCGCAATCAGCGTGGCCGGTTCAATCTGTCCTGCTTTGGTCTTGTCTTGGAAGTGCGGCCGTTGGAATCCTCTGTGATAACGACGGTTTTCTATATTTAGGGTGTTAGACGAGGGTTTTTGATCCGGTTGGCCGGGTTTTCCCTCGAGCCTGTTGTTGTTTTGAGTCCCTTTGGTAGATCAAGGGTATCCATGCCCCGCGTTAGGTTTGCCATTCGCGTTCAAACCGGGGAGGGTGTTCGTGTGTTTGGATACGGACTGTTTAGATCTACCGGCAACAACAGAGGGTACGCAGATGGGGCATATGTACACCTTGAAATGGTTGCATGTGCGGGGACCCCTCGAACTCCAAAGAGGGCTTCACTTCTCCCTACTCCCCTTGCGTGTCTAATACAAGAGATAAAACATCTTCCCCTTCCAAGTGAAGGACATATACGAACAGCTCCGACCTCACCTCTTCCAAGGATGGACCCAGTGAACAATAGCGCTGGCTCCTTGCATGCAGCCGATGTACGGCTGCGCAAGTTGCCGCAAGAGCATCGCGTTGTAGTATACCCGGTTTGGGGAGAAGGTCTGCAGCACCAGGGTGGACGAAAGGGGCCAGGTCGTGTGAGGCTGATTGGGTTGGTTTGATGCACTCAAGATGAGGCGACATCCGACAAGATTGCCGGGCTGCGCATACAGCACAGGCTGACTAAACAACGTGGAGTCAACCTCAACGAAACACTTCAGTACTTGTGAAAATTGAACCTACACATAGGCGAGGCAACCGGAGAGTAAATTCAAGCGGCGATCTGGAAAGCGGACGGCGTAAGCAACAAACTGGCTTGGCTAGAGTAGGCTGGCGAATAACTATAAGTTCATGGCGGTTTTTAGCAACCCCGATGTATCACAGAACGACAACAACTGGACGAAAGAGTGGTCTACGTACGCGTACGTACCATCTCCGCTGGCTCCGGTGGTTCTTCTGGCCAAAGGTGACTACACGTCTCCGCAAACTCATTGAACTCGACGCGAAGCTGTAAACGCACCTGGTGGGGCAGATCGAGGGGAAAAAATCATACTGAGAACTGATGACACCGTTCAATTCAACTACATACATGAAACTGCGTTCTACGAACGATCCAGACGCCAAAACGCTCGCGACCGGCCTTGCATGTCTGGACCCAGGACGATCTCGATGTTGTGGCACCCCCGGTGGAGCGCATTTCTCAGGGATACCCGCTTCGGCGTTTTCGATGTTTGTTAACGATGTTTTCTAAAGGACCTATGTGCAAGCTGAAGTCTCCAACCAAATTAGATACGCGCAAATTCACCAGCCCGTTCCACTCCGTTTGACTGAATACCGCAGGCCTTCCGACATGAATCAGTAACACTATTTTTTCCGCACTGGTGTGTACCGGTTTTCGACGTGGACTATGGATGTCACTATGAACACGTGTGGGGCACACTATCTAGCAAAGTATTCGGAAGTGGGTGACCTCCTCCGGACCTCTTACATACGGCACAACGACACCGTGGACATGCTTCGCTTGAACCCAACAACGTTTCCCCAGTCGCACCTCTCCGAACCGCTTGCGACGAACCTCGATGCAGGCCTCGCAAGATGGGGATTCCTCCCTGGGTCTGGGAGACGCACAGCGGTACAAGCAGTGGCAGTACGGGGCGGGCGAGTAGGGTGGTTGCGGAAGGTACAGTCACGGCACGGGAGACATCGGTTGCGTCAGCTTGGCGGATTCTACTGACAGACTCGAGATGCCCGAGCAAGCACGGATCGACCAACAAGGTGTAGAATCAAAAGTAAAGAAGACGTGAGGGCCGGCATAATGGAGGGCTTCATGCTATGGGCTTACACCCGGGATGTAGATCGGAGTGGTGAACTATGTCTACTCAACCGCTCACACGGGCAAATTGCCGTTGATATCGTGGTGCCTAACAATGCCCCTTTCTTAATAGCAGATTATGGCTATGAAAACATGCAAACAACGACGCACAAACGTACAAGTCTCGTCGCTTGCACCCAAGTGTACGGGTAGACCCTTCTTAGTTAAGGGAGGGACGTGAGGCAGTGCGTATCCCGTGCACGCAGCAACCGCAGTTCAAACAATATTGACATGAAACGTTCCAGTCCGAATCGCCTTCAGCAGCGAAGATAAAATGTGACATGCAATGGACCCACCCGTGATCATGATCAATTCGGTCTTCAGCAGTGGCGCCCTTTCTCCCGAGCACAGACGTCCATCTTAACGAAGAGGTTGTGGCCGACCCTCCTGAGACAATACGTGTTGTGAACATCACATGTGCTGTCAGTTGACTCTAGTCAAACTTCACAGTTACGTAATCCTGAATAAACCTGGTTGCCAAGCATAAGCATGTCGTCCACCTTCCTAGATTCTAGAATTATTCATGTGGGAATCGAAACGAACCTAACTTCTTCGTGAAGGAACCAATCCCCGTACAAAATCGAAGCCTGCCGTCGCCAGCACCATTGTTTACCTTCCAGTCTTTTTGCTGGACCATTTCCTGCAGTATTCGATACCTGTTAGCGAGGCACTTATCGCAATCGTTATTTGGCGAAACCAGGAAAGGGCAACATGCACATGACTAACAATCACCGCCGGAACGAGCAGTCCACCAGCTCCGCATCAATTTCAGTCAGCAGCACGATCGGTTCCAGAGCTTGGAGATTATTTCAACCCGATGAAAAGCGCCACCAAGGTGATATACCCCTACCTTTGCCTCCCGCCGTGGTGTCCGCAGCGATCTCCTCTTCCTGCCAAAGTTTCGAAATGCAATGGGCAGGAGAGTCATTGTCACCCCCACTCTTTGGGTCTGTCATTAAACTACGTTGCACCATCCGCTTGGAGCTGTATCGCAAGAGTTCTTCATTGTGGTATCGATACAGTTGACCGTATTTCTGGAGCTCAATTTGCCATCCGGCAGCATTTGAAGAGCTCACTACAGACCGATCCACGAGATAATCACTGTCCAAATTTCCGTGTAGAATCCCTCAACACCAAAACCAACCTCTTGCGTCTCTTCTTCCATCTCTGAGAAAGCTTCCAGCTCTGCCAGTCGAGAAATGTGCGCATCCGGAACCGCAGATGGACTGTCTTTCAAATCCCAGGGAGCGTCAAGCACGTACCATGTGTCGATTGTCTGTAGCGTTTCAAATGCACAGTTTCGGGTACTTCAACAATGGAGAATTAAGGAAGGAGGGGTAGGGGATTGAGTCTGGGTTGCACTGCATGGAGGACTTGTCTCGCATCTTAGGCATGCTGGCGAAGCAGAAAAGTATTTGAAACGCTGTCCTGACCGGAATAGAAACTGATCCCAGGTTACTTAGGTTGCAACATATACACGGGATGGCTTTCCTCTTGCCAGCACATCCCGCTGCAGCCCCCGCACGTTCAGAAAACGTGGCTAGTCGACGGACTGTCAGCCTCAAAACGAACAGAATCACGAGGGCCGTCCACCGGGTTGTGAACAACCTGCGGTGCCGCTTCCTGATGTGACATGTGTATCGCATCTGCCTACCTTCTGTGACCGGAGTTCCTTATCGATGCTGACCTCGACGCTGCCCAACGACTCATCACACGAACCGCGGTCCCAGTCCCAAAGCTCTACGCGAAGGATAGCCCCGGCCCTGTCAGAATACAATGTGATCGCAGCGAACAGCAGGCACATTCCAGAAATACAATTATGTGGACGCCACACGATATTGACCAAAAAGCCAAAGGCACACTTCGACCGACTGGCTGCAGTTGGGGGAAATCCAAACTTCTCTGCACCTAGGGTCATTGGAACGTACATCCGCATATACGTCCCCCACCTTCTGATGGGCAGCGAAAAAGTTTCGTTCCAGACGGGGTTAAGGGTGTACTTGATGGTTCTCGTCCGGTCGCAAATTCGTAGCCGCTCCGACCACTCCTGGCCGGTTGATAGATACCTGGCCACAGATCACGCATACAGTGGCACCTCGACCAATTGTGACAGGGGCAGGCAATGTTCACAGGTTGACCTATAACTATGACGTCAATAGCACGATGGCTAAGTGTCCACCTTGACTTATGCAGGTATCTCCATCTCTCTCGTACCCACTCTGTATCCACACCGCAGGGCTTGTTGTGCTTGTCACGTCGAGCTAGGTGGCATTCTGGTCCAACAGGTAATGGATAAATTACCTGGAGTAGTTGGCATGAACTCATGACTTTCAACATGTTTTGTCCACGAGCCATACATACCACGCCACGTGCCACAACTGAAAATATGTCTATTGCGTTCATCAATAGCGCACCCGACTCCCTTCATACAAATTGAAATATAGTCCATGCATAAAAAAAACTAGGTAGGAATACTAACCTGCCAGTGAGGGCCAGGTTCACGTAGGGATCACTCTTGCCCAACATACCGTCCCTCGCCATCAGCCCCCTGGCTTCCACCACCTTCACGTGTAGAACCTGAACACACTCATGTATTCAACGTATCGACAGCATTGGACAAAGAGGTTTGGAAGCTGCTTGGGCGTACAAGAATAAATGAAGCATATTGGTCCTGCACATGATGACTAAGCGATGTTCGCTCATCTGGCATTTCGCTTTTGAAACGCGTTCTCAGCATGAACACCAACTGGTTTGCCAGGGAGACCATGCCCATCGCAGTATCAAGATGCGAGAAGCAAAGGGGAGAGCGGACGACGACCTATCGAGTCACCATACACTGTAGCAGTATGCCGTTTAGGTCTCCGCTACTGTGTGTCAAAGGACTGACCGCCCAAATGGGTGCAATGCCGTTCATGTCCAGATTCCCTCTCACCCCGATTGATATCGTGGCTTTTCGTTTCGCCTTGAGCAGCACCCGAGCTGGGAACATCCACGGCTTGATCGACCTGTAGTCCTTAACCCCATAGCGCTCCTCGTACAACTCATCCGCATTGCTACGACCATGGGTATCCCTTGACGTGTTGGTTTGAAACGTTCTGTTGAGCAATAACAGGACAAATTGGCGGGAGTTGTTCGGGAAGAGCGGTGGTGCCACCCCCATTTTGAGGGTGGGCAATCCGTGAATTTGTTGCACTAAAGCTTTTAGGCATGGTCTGTTCAACATATGGATCTCAGGGTGCTTCTGTGCACGACCGTACGTCAAGGGCATCCATTGTGCATGGCGACTGAAGCGCTTTCCCTCAAGTCCATCCACAACAGGAGCGGGCGTCTCCAATTGAGTACGACGGCTGTCACCAAAAGGTGGAGGCCCCGACGGGCAAGTACAGTGCGAAGTCTTCAATGGCAGTAGTTAACGGGTAAATTATGTCCCCGTGATTCCTCCAACAACGATGTGTGAATTCGGCTCACTTGTGTGGACAATTGCATGTTTGACACAACTTTCCCTCTCCAAAGTGATGCTTGCGTACTTGGAGCGGACCAGCCCAGTCCCGATATGACGAAGGCCCGGGTTTTATCAGGGGGCGTTAGCCAGAGTTCTGAGAAACAAGGACACATCTGGTCAGAGGATTCAGGGCTTCGGGCCTCCCCCTTCATCCTCTGGGATACGGGTAGGACTAATGTACAGAGGATCAGGTAAAATCGGGACAACAAGGTGGAGAGCCGAAGATCACCAAGCAAGGCAAAATACTAACAAGAGTCGCTTGAATATATTGTTGCATCCCTGCTAGATCGGGGTGTATTCGCAGCCAGGGTTTCACCGAAGCCATTTGTTCACAACAAGCACACAAACAAGATACTTACACTACTATATATATTTGTGTGCTTGTTGGGCATGGCTGGGCATAGTGAAACCCCGGCGGCGATTGCACCCCGATCTAGCCGGAGTGCAAGGATAGAATCAGGCAAACTTACTTGTGGCATAGAATGTCTTGGTTTGTGATATTTAGTATATATTTTGCTCAATTGGTTCTGCTTGGCATCGCATGCCGAGCGGGAGCGATGGCCTTCTTTCAGTTTCGTCTGGATCAGGCCATCCTGAGGAACATCCCCACCCCCTGGATGTCGTCCTTGACCATGCCTACACAATACAGTCCGCCGGACTCCGTGCGCTCAAGAGAGGCAGTAGCTCGGCGGTAGCGCTTTTGTAGTGGTCGATCATGCATGCAACGAAACTCGCATCCAACTCCGCGCGCCAAAAGTTGTCACGGACGCAGAAATATCGAAATCAGCTTGCCCCGTCCACGAAGTTGACAAAAACGAGACCTCAGAGTTCATCGCTTGCAGGTGGGCGCTCCGTGGAACGTCATTGTAAACATAATTACCTCAAACGGAAGAAAACATACGTCGTTTGGCATTTTGCGTAATGTGACCAAAGCATTTAGCGGTATTGACCAGAGCACTACTCTACAAATTTACGGAGTGTATCACGAAGGCCCCATGTCTGGTTAGGCACTGTCCTTGGTAAGCTTACCTTTCGCGTTTGCGAGATGAGAAGGATGAGAGGCCGAACATACCCGTAAGTTTGTCTCCGGTGACGCCCCAGTACACAGTCGGCTGTGGTGGTTGCAACCAAAATAAAGCAGCAGCACTGCTGTTCGTCGCCTACTAAGCACACAAAGCCGAGGAAGGAGGGGTATTTGTCGGAGGAGGTGGCTCTATCGGCGTGTAGAAACACAGGCCACAGAATCAACAAGGCAGCATGCGCGATAGCTTTTATTCAAAAATCTCCCGAGACGTCTGTATAGTCTACCTGTGCCATCGTTGCAGTTTCGGCTTTGATGCATGTACAGTAGTAGTTGGATCATGTCATGTTGGGGGGAGGATGCGACGCGACGTTCCCCCGGCACCGTGCAACCATGGCTAAGCTGTCCTCTCACAAGTTCATTATGGGTGCGAGGATAGTTCAGTCGCAGGCGTGCTGCTCTGCAGGTGTTTCTACTGCTTGAAGTGTTTCTTCCGCCAGCTTCCAAGTTGACTCGATGGGTTCTACTGCAGTCTACACATAAATGCTACGCAATGTCTGTCAGAGGTCTAATCATACTGCGGCGCTGTATTCCAACCCGAACCCTCTTGTACCCCATCCCGGGCTCCCCATTGATTGTTGTTTCTGAAATGTCAAATATTTAATTCTGACGAGCTATGGGGCTTTCCCTGGGTGGTACTTTAAAAAAGCTTCGGCCTCATCGTCATCTGTCGATTATTATATGTAGGGAGGTGTTTTGATAAAGGTGAGAAAGCGCATCCTTTTTTTCGGTGGAGACCTCCAACAACACACCCGACAACCAACACATCGGAGGCTGCATCGCGAGCGGCCACCCATGGCAAGCGGGTCCTCTATTTCCGAGGCATGATCAAGTGCATCACATCAAAAATAGTTGTGTGCAGGAAGCACTCACTCCAGTTCACCAGTAGCGGAATGCTGCTCTCACGCTGGTGTGATGTGGATGTTGAAGCGAGTTTGGTGGACCCTCAGCTGCTTGGACTTGAACGTGCCTGTTTTCTCGATTTATCCAGGTTCCGAATTCCGAACAGAGCCCGCCGATCATACGCACAGCAAATGGACAATGCTTGGGTGCAGACTGTGTCTATTGCTGTTAACTTTTAGCGGCTACACCACTCTCACCGTTCGCTTACGGGGTGAAGCGATCGTGCCTCCCCCGTCTCCGGCTCTCCAGGGTTAGGGTTAGGCAGCAGCAGGTGTCAGCAGATAGAAGTTGACTTTGACAGACCACGTGCGGGACTGTCCCAAAGTGCATCCCGCACGAAATGCACGCTGGCGTTTTCTACTCAGAAGTGTTTTGTGTTTTGTGGCATGTAGAAACAGATTTCAGCCGCTCTTCGATTATAGTACGCATTGCCTCCAACAAGTTTGATAGTCTTTCTATTCATTGTGGGGGTGTCCTCTATTCTACTTAATGCACCCCAGCCTGACGACGTGGTGCTGTACAACATCCACACCAGATACGCATTGTGTATCCGCCTCTCGAAGATGCTGCGGCAACATGGACCGCGTCGCTACAAATAACCTATGACCCAATAGAGGGACAAATGCAGACATGCACATGTGCACATGTGCACGGACCTTTGTGACGAGCTGCTGTTGACTGCGGCCCAACTAGAAAGACTGACGATCGGTTCAAGGGGAAGAGCTACGCGGTAGTGTACCTACTCTCCCGCATTCGCTAAGCTTTACCTGGAGGAATGAATCTCGCAGATTGCATGCGCTTGAAGCACCAGTACAGATGTGGGCACCACATGTCAGTATATAAGGCTTGGGGCACTTGCCTCGTGTCGGGCAACCACCTCTTTTACAGTAGCGTCAGCGGTAGGATGTCATCTCTACAATGATAACGTCCCGGGTTCGACTTCGGGCACGTGAAAATGGGTTTTTTGTCCGCCGCCAGCCGGTCGGGTTCCGATTACCCTACATGCTACGGGGGGTGGGTCATGGTACCCGCGTATTTGTTTACAATGCTGAGCTGTCCGCTCGCTCGTATCCGGGGTGGTATGAGGGCACCACATCAGTATATAAGGCTTGGGGCCCCTTATCTCGTGTCGGGCAAACACCCTTTTTACACAGAGGGTGGGTGGTATTGGAATTCCATCCCAGCATCTCCACACTCCGCAAGGCAGTAACCTATGGCACTGAATCTAGTCTCCACGGGTCTAATGCCAGGGGTTGGATCAACCTTCCTCTCATGGCCGAAAATTCCACTGCTGGACAGGATTGATCGCAGTTTCTCCTCTCCCTCAGGCAATGCTAGACGTGGTCTTTTTAGCTTGTCCGCCTAATCCTAGGATTGCACCTGCTCTATCTACAGTAGTAGACATATTCTAACAACCCTGTCTTGCCCTCTCCCCAGCCCCCAGCCTCTGGCTATCGGTTTACCTAACTCAAAATGTTTGATCTCTATCCCGCGCCCCGGCCTAGAACTTCTGAATCAACGGTTCATAAAATACTATTATTGGCACGTTCGCAATGATCAATCTCAACATGGGCCTTGGTATCAGCGTTCTTTCTTGCCAACCAACAGCGCACTCACTCTGGTCGTGAGCTCAGCTTTGGCGGCGTCTGTCACATTTGTTCCCCACATCACTCCTGTCTCTCAGAGGCTATTTGACACCTCTTGCAGGTAAATGTCTACGGATCCAAAGAAACCTTGAGACGACTTGTTGTCTTCGCAATAAACACTATGTCTCGGCGGAGCACAAGTACACACCCGACCCAACTGACGCGGACGCGTTCCGGGGTCACAGGGCAACTAAAATACCCAACAAAGGATGCATACCTTCGAAAGATAAAAAACGGGCAGAGAAGGGCCCAGACAAATCACGACAAACGCGGTAATGGAGCATAATTGTTGTTTTCAGAGGCTCCGTTTTCGCTGCTCCTTTCAGCATCGTTCCTCGCCGGCCCAAGCACACCCGGAAAGACTGACGCATCACACATTAATTTATCAGAATATTGTTCCGTTTCCTTCCTTGGCCCCGACCATTTCCACCTCCACGATTAGGGTCTCGTCGAAGCGACGAGCCATTCGCCGCGTTGCACCGTAGCCTACCGGCCTGGGCTCAAGTGTGAGATCGATGCAATCTTCCACCTGAAGGGGGTGAAAAAAAACAAGCAATTCACACACGATCACGCAACAGAGCAAGTTGAGATGATGGTGCAATCAACGGGATAGCGGAGAGGCAATCTCATCGACCTTGTACTTGACATGCATGAAGCAGCGTGGGTCGACGCAAGCTCCATCCACCTCTACTGTACTGATCGACATGAAAGCTACATTTATACAGCGCAGGTGGATGAGGAAATGTTCAGGAATAGGCACCATGGTGGAGGATGTCGTAAATCACCGTGGGGCTAGCAGCATCTGTTCACGAGAACGAGTGATAACACACGGGTTCAAACTTTGGCCCTAGGACGGAAGAACATTGACGTTCCAACATGACCGTAGAGCTGCGCGACATCATTACGTACAGCAGTAGTTGAATATTCACAATTAAGGCAAGCTAGAGCGTCGAGTCGGATAGCGAGATCCGAAGCGCCGGCGACCATTTCGGGAAATAGCACAGACGTTCGGGGTCATACACATAGCTCGATTCAAATTCTGCCGGAGCAATGAAATGCGTCCCTACCAATGAGGATTAACGCTCTGCATAAAGATCGATCTCGTCCAGCCAATAACCACCGAGGGTGGCCATGATGCACATCCACGGAACCCCCGAAAGACACGAAGGGGCTCGCGAAATCTGTGACTCGCAACTGACTGCTGACTGACCTTTGCTAGAGCCGCCCCTGGCACCCCGGACATAACCCCCATGTCGATCTCCGTGGCGCACTTGGGGTCTTGCTTCTTCCACCCCCTCTCCGGCCTCACCGCCACTCGCCGCACGCCCCCCACCCGCATGCCAACTACCCCCTACAAATCAAGTTTCCCCCAAAAAGCAAAGCACAGTTGGCATCATGTATCACACCCTTACGCGGCGGCAGGGGGGGTCCAACAAACAGGCGGTAGGCAGATTCTTAACGTCGAGATCGCCGTTCTGTTGCCGGCAGCGTCAAAAATTGTTTCAGACCGCAGCGGGAATCTGTATTGCCGGGGGTAGGAGCAAGAGGGTCTCTGATCACCCGGTGGAGCACCAGGCAACAAACAAATTACAACTACCACGCGTGTCAATAAGAAGGGTGTCGTGCTACGGAAGGTGGGTGGGATAAAGGTTGCCATTTGGGGGCGGTCTTCACACCTGCAAGACAACATGTGCCTGGATTCGGGATTTGTTGCTCTACCTTCCACACTTCTTCGCCGTTCGTTGGCAGTGCTTCGTCTTCAAAAGCAGCATAATATAGGTTGATTCTCAAACCAGAACGAGACAAAAACGGATGATACCACCCGCCGGTGCAGGCGTTGTCTCGCAAGGTCAGCGGGGTGGGCAATGAAGTTAGGACCACGATGGCTGTGCCAAGAAAGATGTCTCGAGCATTCTATCCCCCTCCTCCCCCCGGGACTACTGTCAATGTGCTTGCCTCATCGACGGCGCTGACCAGCCTTCCAGAGCCAAGCGGCACCGTCAAGACGTCTCCCTCCTTGTCATCGTCTTCCCCGTAGCCTAGGGAAAACACCGACTGGGTCTGCAAAAACACATGTAGGCGTGAGTGTTGAAGCATCTTCGCGGGACTCCGTGGTCGAACAGCGCTGGCATCACGCCCCATGTCCATGGATTCTTCGCAACAGCGAAGGCGCATTTATCATCATGTCGTCACGTATGCCTCAATTACGTAGGGATCCGGGCAACACAAGACCCGCATGGTTCGTGGCGAACGTGAACACGTTGGCTCGGCCCAACAGGATGGTGACAGGTTACAAAGGCTTCCGTACGCAACTACTGAGTGACAGCAGTAGCTTTCCCAACACATGGCAACCAAACCAAACCGCGATGCATTTCAAAGGGACAAGGGTCCACTTGCTTGAAAGCAGCAAAATATGCAGTACTGCTGTGCATATGGCGAGGCCTGAAACCAAACGACGAGCAGGGAATGTTTCGAATCAACAACGATCGGGTTTGGTCAACCATCCCGTTCCTGGCACCCCAACCCCATATTTGCACACATTACTAAAACAACGTTGTTCTTGATAACCCAACCGCACCTCTCCGGAGATCCCGTCGTAGCTTCTCTTTCCCAGTTTCTCCACACGGTACCTCATGTCCACAACGTTTGCGGGTTTCACCTTGCGGGATAACGCCGGGATCAATCGATTTTCAAAAAAGCATGGGTAAGTAAACGACGAAGGAAATATCCGAGAAACATCCACGGGGCACGAAACTCGGACAAGTCGCGAGAGCACCCAACACAATGTCGCGTCAATCAAACGGTGGTTGGAACTGCAGGGTGATGCGACACCAAGGGTAGCCCATATCGAAAAAATGCTCCAATTTTGCCGTTTCAGTGGCGAAAGTGTCATGATGGTGACGATCGAGACTTGGCGATGGTCAGCAACCCATGCGAAACCAACATGTGTGCCCATGGCTGAATGCATCCGTGGCCCTGAATTGAACTCGAGACGTCTGAGGAAATACTTCAGTCAAAAGGCAGATGACCTAGGGGAGACAAGACACGGCTTGTCAATACCACAAAAATACACCAAATCGAACCCCATACCCATCCTACTACCTTAATGGTCTGTCGCGAACATTTAACTGCACCACCGAAGGCAAGACGAACACACCGACCACAGAAACAGTAATGGCCAACAGCGCCACTGCGGGCCCCGCCCCAATCGCGCAATCGCCATCCAATCACCATCAGCCCCGCACCTCAGCCCCGTCCCCGATCTTGAGGTCTTTGAAGCGGATGCCACTGGATGTGACAGAAAAAGTCCTCGACGGGTCACTATCCTCGGGACCAGCGTCTGCCGTGGGGGTAGCCTCTGCATGCAATGTGTGCAGAACCCACAAGAAACAAGAGCAGCAGTCAATATACGGTTGGAAATTGGTAGCACTCCATCAGCCAAAGCCAGCATTCGATTCCCACCACTGCAGGCCACGCTATTCGAGCACGACGACAAACTCCATCAGCCAAAGCCAGCATCGCTACGAATGAAGACTGTCAGCCATTCCAACCATCGACAACAGCAAGTTCATGTACCCGTACCAAACGTCCAACAAAGGTGCTACGCCTCTTTTTCCCAGTCCTGGCTATGTTGTCGATGCGATTTGCTCTTCGTGCGAGTAAAACTACAACCTATCAACCCTCGCGCCGTCAAAAACGAACTCGGTACCCTGCAACTATTCAGGCACTCAAACGACAAGAACACCACCCCCCTGAGCAACATCCCGTCACGCCCACGAACTATCGCGCTGAGTCGGACACGGCGAAGGGGAAGCGGTACACAGGCGCGGACCAACTCATCTCTCGCTCACCTGGTTCCCCGTTACCGTACCCACTTCCACGCTTCTTGTTGTACCCTGGCGGAGGTGCGTTACCCTTGACAAGCGCGCTCGCCGGGGGGGGGGCTCCCACAGTCGCGGCCGCGGATACCCCCAGCACCGCTGCAGCGGTCACGGCCGCACCCGACAGGAAATCTCCGCGGTTGGAGGACCCTCCTCCCCCTCCTTTAGGAAAAGGTGGAGAACATCAGACATGAGCGAAAGACGGGGTGGAGACAAAGCGCCCAACTGGACCCCTTAGCAGCCAAAATGCCGCTGTCGGCGAGAAATGAACACCATGCACCCAGTTTCTGCAGGGTTGCCGTCTGCCGTTTGGTGTGGAATCCACGTCCGCGAGTGTCGTGTGGTTTATTCAGGCTTGAAGTGATAAGTGTGTGCCTGTCCTGAAGCGCACGAATTCGCTGCTCGCCATAGAGTTCTTGTGTACCATTATGATCTACCAGGTACGAGTGCATCTGTACCTGTTACTGAAGTACTTGGGGATCAAACGAGAGTGTTTTTTTCCCCTCTAAGACCCCGAGGCACTCCCTCCCTTCTCCGCCCACGTTCTTGCTCAAAGACAGCATCATAGTAGAGGAAATCAACCGCAAGGTTGGCCAAATCAAGAAAGGGAGGGTCTATACAAAAGTGGTGTGGCGTTCCCCAGATACATTTGTAGATGGAGTGGGTACTACTGCTTGTAGTGTGTGCATTTTGCTTCCCCGATTGCTCGATGTAAGGACTTTGAACAGACTCCGTCAGTCCACCTTTACTTCCGCACGTGTCCTTCAATTCCCCCTATAAAAGGCTGTCAATCAATATCTCCATTTCTCGTTCGAAAAATTAAAATTTTACTTTGGAACCGGTAGATGTACGTTCGACAGTACGCGATTGAAGCGATCCTATACATTAAATAGCTTGCATAAGATATCACACCCCCTGGGCCGATTTTTAAAGCTCGATTTCTCGACAGGAAAAACAGTGACGGCGTGGAGAGCTTTCCGAAAACATGTCATTAGAACTCGGCATGCTCTTCGTGGTCGGGTAATCGAGTTGTCACAACTGGTCCAGGGGTGTGGTATCTTACGCAACCTACGGTACTTCATGTGTCGGGCGTATTCCGCACGATGTGTGTCATGATTGTACTTCATTCGCCATCTCGCCGCGCGGCGTTGTCGCAGCAACAACAACATTTAACGGTCTTTATGAAGTGGTAGTTGTACGGATTGTGGAAGTCTGGTAACTGCTGCTCAGAGGTCAGGAATCAGATGTCGGTGTGACGTCGGTCTACACATGGAGATAGGCGTGTACGCCTCATGCAAACGGACGCCTCGCGCGGACCCATGTTGGAGGAAACCCAGAAATACAATTCCAGCAACCCCACCACTGTTTGCACATACGTATCATGTGCTGGCTGCACCACGCATGACCAACACACAACAGCGGTAAGTAGTCTACAACCTCTACAGCAGTAGCGGAATCCGTGGCAATCTTGAGTCAGATGAGCCATGCGAAACGTGACTATGATAGACTACAATACAAGTAACGATCATGAACCCAGCAGGAAGGTGTTCGAGTTTTTACGAACAACGGCAGCGGCAGTCGTATGCGAACATCACCAACCCAAGCATAGCAGGCTAGAAGTACTCTGCCACTCTACCGTTGCACCCCTCCTTCTCTTGCCCTATCTGTGTGTATGTGGACGAAACACTGTGTTGGATATCTCACCGTTCCCGTGAAGCATCTCCATCATGACAACGCCTTCGTGCCTGCCGAGCACGGATCGCTGGTTGGCACTGCAGTGGAGCACAAAAGCTCTGGTACTCCATGGAAGCAGGAGATTCACCACCATCAGCAGCACCTTGGCCTGCTCGTTGAGCACCATGATCAGCTCCGCGATCGATCAGCTGCTGCTACGCTTCGTTGCTGACTGGCAGACCAGCAGATGGAGCGACCGGGTGCCAAGCGAAGGGGTGTCGCGAATGGGAAATACGTCAGCGTGCCTATTATGCCTTTTTTTTTAGGTATCCCTTTGGCTGGGGGGCTCGTGGTGGCATGTTCTCCGTCTTGCGTGCTCCTGCTGCTGTGCCTGCTCCAGCTGCTGTGCTGTCGCCGAAAAAGAGCAGCAGTAGAGTTGCACAGGTTGAGTGCACTACGACACCTTCAGGCGAGCGAGAGCATGGTGGTGCAAGCTTCCTAGAATACACAGATTTTCGACCTCCCACGGCACCGACAGCTGACTACATACAACAAGGAGGAGTTTCCAAGCGACAATGCCGACGGGGCATGATGATGCAGCCGATGACACCCAGAACCAGGGGACCAGGGACCACCTAATCTTCTTCGTGAATGGAGCTAAGCAGGTGGTCAAAGACGCCCAGCCTCAGACAACATTGCTACAACATCTCCGGGCGGTCGGCCTGACCGGGTGAGGCTACAGCGCGAAGTTTCGATTTGCCGTTGTGAAGAATCTCGACACGTTGCAGTTTTGAGGAGGCCAGGCATGGGAGGCACAACGGCCATCACATATCGTCTTTCAGCTAGCCCTCTCATGTCCCTTAGACGTGCAACGCTGCACGATCATTCTGCCTCAAGCAGGACCAAGCTTGGATGTGGGGAGGGTGGGTGCGGGGCATGCACGGTGATGGTGTCTTCCTTCGACGCGGAAAAGAAGCAGATCAAGCACGCCGCTGTCAATGCCTGCCTGGCGCCCGTGGTGGGTGCCTCTTCCTTTGCCTGCTGGAGACGTTCACGCAACAGCAGTAGTGTAATGCTTTCTCTGTCTCTGTCTCTGTCTCTGTCTCTGTCTCTTGTCTCTTGTCTCGTTCGCATTCCATACGTGAATACGATCTCTACTGCTGCATGCATATCTGATGCACATCATGATCCTGTTTTGTTTTCCCGGACATGAGGGACCACTTACGACAAGCGGGGGGGTGGTAGAATATATTTTTGAGGTGGGCATGTTCTCCTGGTTGTGCTGTTTTCCGGATGGCGTTGTCTCAAGTCGCGTATCGGGTGGTGTATTCGCTCCCAATCCCTCCTCCGTCGCTACAACGCGAGTGTGGTGAAATCTGTTTCGAGTTTTCGGGATCTTCCGATCTCTCGTGCGCCCCCCCTTTTTTTTCGGTGTTTCATGACGTCATTTGCCTGAACACCCACGTCACGGAATCTCAGTTGGCTCCCGCATACGACACAAGATAACACACGCGTTGACCGATTATTCCAAGGCCCTCTCGGGAATTTTCCCGCGGTAATTCCCCGCGGGATTTCCATGGGAACGGTAATTGGTAATGTTACCGCGATCATTCCCGGTTACCCTACCCATCCACATTACCGAGCAAATGGCCTTCTCCCACTCCCATCCAAATCCTTACCAAGGACGTGAAATCCCGTTGTTCCCACCCAACCAATTACCGTGCACAATGTCGAAATCCCGTGGCTCTTGGCTACCACCTAAGCAAATACCGAGAGGATCTAGATTTCCCGCTATTGTACGGGATCAAAACACATTTATCGTACACATATGTAGCTGACGGGGCTATCTGCAAGCTTGGACCACTGAACGCGGCGGGTTCGGTTCTCCATATCGTCGCTCTCTTTGCTGCTCGTCTTTCTTTTCTATCTCTCTTCTGCAGTACCGATCCATTAAACGAAAGGAGAAGTTTTTCTTCTTTTGTGTCTTGGGTCTTTGAATTTTGGTTTTGAGTATTGCCGTAGTGCGGTGTATTTTTCTGTTTGTTGTTGTGAACTGCTTGCCCGCGGTGTGACGCAGATACGGTACACTATGCTTATCGTTGAGCTCGATATGCGTGTGCGTGGTTGCTGGTGGTTTTAGCATCGTCTGGCAGATAAGTTTGGTGCGTTCAGTCTTCACGTAGCTGAGATAGATATGGTTAGTGATCAAGTGATGAATATTTCGAGGTGTCGCTCTGGAAGTACTGATATAGTTCGTTTGTTTTATCCTTTGTCTGTCGCCTCGTCTTTCGGTAACTTTTACCACAAGATTTTCGCCTGTAGTCCCAAAACAATTGAAAAACGAACTGCGATAGGTTCCCTTCGTGTGTTTCGTGTTCTTTCGTTCTTTGTGGAACGCGCTGTTTGGGTGTCACGCACACTGAAAAGAAGCGCAACACAGACGCAGTGCATCGCTTTGAGAAGTGTTCCCATCCTACGTAAGTACCGTGCATTACCGTGGTGGATTACCGTGGTGGCCCGTTACCGCGGCATTACCGTAGTGCCGACGTACCACCCAATTATTCTCGTGCATTCCCGTGGTGGCTAGTTCCCGTACCGGAGATACCGTGCTGGGGAGTTACCACCCAGGCATTACCGTGCAGTATCGTGGTGGCCAGTTACCACCCAAATATTACCGTGTTCGCTGATTCCCGTACTAATCATTACCGAATTGAGAAATCGTTCCCGAGAGGAGCCTTGGATTTTTCAAAGCTCGTTTTCTCCACAACGGACGAAAAGGATGCATAAACGAAACGATACGTTTTCGGAGAGCTCTCGACCAAACGGCTTTAACGCCGTTTTCGGCGCTGCCGTTGATACATGGATTTTTGAAAATCGGTCCTGGGGGTGTGTTATCTTGTGTCTTGGCAAGACGGTAATCTGTTGTTGTACATCGTTGTTCTTTTTCTCTGGGCATTAACAATCGTGCCGGAACTGTGCGGCAAAAGCACCAGCAACATAACAGCAGCACCACCAGCAGCACCAGCACCAGCAGCAGCATAAGCAGCAGCTGATTCGTGAGAGCTTCGTCCACACCATTAACACTTTCGTCCTCGCGCTACTAAACAGCAGTAGTCCTGCGTACACGGCTGGTTGTGTTGGGTGAGGTGTGAGCGTGTGCAGTAGCAGCGGTGACCTCTCTGTGAGGCTCCATTCATATCAATTTGCGCCTGCGTCTCTTTCTCCACCTGTCCTCTTTCGCCCTTCGCGCGAATTTGTTGACCCTCTATGTATGGGGGTTGAGGCTAGAAGTCGTTCCGATCTCTCTACTCAGAACCTCCTTCTGTCCGTAGTGGTACCACTTGACGCGGTCGATTCCCGTGGTGACAGACTAACTCAATCTAAAAATGTACTTCTTCGAATACTCAAACATAGTGGGCCCGAAGGATCCGCAAAACGATGAAAATAATGGAGACAGAAAGTCTGGAGCGCTAGGTGAGATGAAAATGAAACTGGGAGTCAACATCACGGGCCGGAGAGGTACATCCCCTGGTTCAACCCCGGTGCCCCTTCGTAGTGCTGTCAAGGTGTTCCTTGTCGGGTCCTCGCCGGTCAGGACGAAACGGCAAACACACGCTCCACCCGTGTTTCGCTCCCACTCAAAAAAAGGGATGGTCTTGTTACCACAGAGTGTTCCATCGAAAATCGAAAATCGAAAATGCGACTGATTGGACAACGGGACCTTGTTTGCCGCCAGAATTTCGATATGGAGGACGTGGGCAAATCTAAAACGACAAACTGAATAGATCGATTTCGAAAATCGAAAGCGTGAACGGGAACATCATGTCGCTTGCCAGCTGCTTGCCAGGCTCTCTGAATTCGGAAATGCCTTCATTTCGCTACTCACCTAACCTATAGACGCCTTGCGATGCACACTATGCGTTGGCATGGAAATGGACACCGAGAGAGTCACCGATATATCGATATACAAATGTTTCTTCGCCAATGGCATCGTTTCCTGCATTAGACCGGAGTATTCAATTACACAGTGCTCGCTGATATCGACCAAGCTTTTCCAACCGCCAGATCCTGGCCGACATCCGAATCTGTCGCTCGCTGTCTGCTGTGTCCTGTATCTCTCACGACTACTACTGCTGTACGGTGTGAATCATTCCAACGGACGCATTTAGGCCGTTTTCGTGTCATCCATGTTCTTTGTTATTTTCGATATGCAACAAGCGTAACATCTCCACGCGCCGCACCACTCCCCCGCCCAACGCCGGAGCTGCAGACCAACTGAACATCTACCAGGACAAGAGGTGGGCGGTTGCGATTGGCGCACCTCTTGTGCTGGTAGATCTTCAGTTGGTCTGCAGCTCCGGCGTTGGGCGGGGGAGTGGTGCGGTGCGTGGAGATAATGCGCTTGTTGCTGTTTTGATACATCACCATGAGCGTGTGAGTGGAGCCAATTCGAAATCAAAATCTCTCGGTGTGGAGTTCTCTGTAAAGAGTTCTACCCATCCCCGTCCACTGCTGTGGTGATCTGTCCTTGAATGCATGATGCATGGATAGTTTCTCAAGAGTTGGAGCATGGTGTATGTCGTTTAGGGCATTGGTACCCGAAACGTCGCTGCTATTGGCGAAGTACCACGGGGCACACACGGGTACAAATGCTTGTCCTCTTCCCAAGGGCGGTGTGCCCCCAAAGAAATACGGAAATAGTTGTTGAATATTTGGAGATGGGAGAGGCTGTTGCGGAAGAAGTTTGTGCTCTTGGTCATTTGTTTCGTCTAGCGAAGGAGGCCCGTGACAGCAGTTAGTTCCGTTGTGCCATTATTTCGTGAAATGCGAGTGCAGTGCTCTGTGGACTGGTGCCATGTGACCACGGTGGAGGGCGTGGGCACGATGTGTCAAGGGCTGCACCCGGTCCAGAAGCGGATCGCCGAGATGCACGGCAGCCAATGTGGCTTCTGTACCCCAGGTGATTGTTGTTGCTGCAGGCAGCTACAACACCGCTGTTTCTGTTTCTGTTGCTGATGTTGTTTGGATATTCAAAAACACTTCGTCTTTTACCCTGGACTTGCACGCCTCGTGTAAACCCAATCGCTCGAAGCAATCGATGGTGTCATCTCGGTACTGATGTCTCGCCGACTGATCGGGGATGTCCTATCGTGAGTAGGGTTGTCCTATCATGATGGCACACACGTGTCGGGAATATCGGCATCTCGATCACAGATGTAACAATACAGTTCTAGTTGTCCTCCCGTACACGTACGTACAAGGCCAAACTGCAGGCAACGATTGTGGTTTTGGTTTTCGAAGATTCCAACAACAGAAACGCGAAGAATCGCATTACGAAAAACTCACGAAATACTCGTAACGCCGGTGTCAGTGTCATGGTGCCCGGGTATCAGTGTTGCACTTGGATCCACAGTGTCTCTCATGCCCACTTTTTAACAATCTCGCCAGGAATCGTCATGGCGCTGTATGCCCTCCTTCGCTCTAACCCTTCGGCCACCGCTGCGGAGATCGAGGATGGATTGGACGGAAATCTCTGCCGTTGCACAGGTATAAAATCATTGAATGCCCACTGTAGTTTGACGAATCATCTTCAGAGAGATATTTGTGAAGATCCGAGAAGTGTACATTTTCTTTCCATCGCACTGGCGTTTCGGTCGGTATCTCCGGTTCGTCCTTTTGCTGTTTGTGACGGTTAAGACGTGTTGCACAGCGGGTGCCCTGCAGAGTCTTGTTGCCGCATTGATTACATTTCGCGTGTGTTCATCAGGTGCAATGTAGGGTTTAGCTGGTATGTGCCGTTTGTATAATCAAGACGGGCATTCGCGGAGGTCAACGTGCTTGTCCTTGTCGAACGCCTCGGGATCCTAATCAGCCCTATTAGCCATTAATACATCATTCCCATCTCCATCTAAAGCCGTGGCGCGCAAGGTGGTGCAAACCCTTGCTTTCTGTATTCGCGGGGATGATGCCCCTCTCAAGGAAGCAAGCTGATCCCCCTGCTGCATCTGTTCGGGGATAAATCGTGTTTGAGGGCATTCGTTGCTTCTGCATGGGCCGCCTCAGCCGCAGTACGAGTGAATGCTCTGGTCGAAAGCTGGAAGGCATCGCACGATTTTTTTTGCACATGATGATCGTTCGCTTTTCTTGCCATCTCCGCCGTTTGTCGAGGTTACGCTATCATCGGTGCGCGTTACCTTTGTGCGACGGTGTTGAGGGATGGTAGTTGTGAGGGCGGTGTTGTGCTGAACCATTGGGGCCTTCGTCGATGGAAACGGCAGCACATCGTTGTTTTTTTGTTGTTGTTGTGATCACGTGTGGTAATCATCGCTCGAAGCTGCCTCCTATCGATCGGCAGGGCTCCGATCCGGGGCCATAGCAATGGTCATGTCTTTCGCGATGCACGCCCCAATTCTCTTTTGTTGCGAGATTGGTTTAGCATTTGCGGTTCCCGAAGCGCGCTGTATCTGGTGGTTCGTCAGTGTGTCTGTTGATGTTGGTATTCTGTTTTGCTATTTTGGAGCGTGGACGGGCAGTGCGGTTCCGGCGCAAGGCGGTGGTGGGGCTGACCAGGCACGCTGCCCATGTCGTGCAACCTACGACCTTCTGTTGTGGATTGTAGAATCTACAGCTTTCAGCGTAGGAAGGAGAACTGTTCTTGTGTTCGTATTCTTGTTGGCGCGAGACTTCTTTCGTGGCCTTCCTTGCAGAGGACCATATCGCTTTGCTCGCCCATATGGTCGCGGTCACATGCTGGGACCCCACCCATACGCCGTTTGTCCTTATATGCAGGGCATTCGGACTTGGAAGGGTACACGCATACGTTTCTGATCGCCGGCTCGTCTGCCCTAAAGCAGCCATGGCGCGAAGCAGATTCCGCCTCTTGTACAGTACAAGTATAACTTCGTACGAGTTTTCTAGTTGATTGACTGACTATGGACCCGACGTTTCACTTGCGTCTGAAGGCTATCGGCCTATTCTGGACGCCGCCAAAAGCCTCGGCGTGGACGCCGGAAGGCCTGCCGGGTGCTGCCGTGGCGGTAGCGGCGGGTGCCCTTGCTTGGAGTCCAAGGTGGGTTACGGCAGCAGCCACGAGGTTGCACCCGGTCGCCCCGGTGGTCTAGTGGGTAGCCTCGCAGCCTGCTAAGGGCCAGGTCATGGATTCGGGTCCCGACAGATTGAGTTTTTTCTCGCTAATTTAATCCTGGTCTCCGTTGGAAGCGACGCGCTGCAAAGCTCGTTGTTAGTAAACTTGATTGACTTCACAAGTCGCGAGGGAAGGGATTGCCGTACCCTTCTCGCGATAAAAACATCTCAGGCAGGAACTGGAGGGGGTCCAACCCCCCCTCCCATGTGACCCCGGTTGGGTCGTCNTGGTCTAGTGGGTAGCCTCGCAGCCTGCTAAGGGCCAGGTCATGGATTCGGGTCCCGACAGATTGAGTTTTTTCTCGCTAATTTAATCCTGGTCTCCGTTGGAAGCGACGCGCTGCAAAGCTCGTTGTTAGTAAACTTGATTGACTTCACAAGTCGCGAGGGAAGGGATTGCCGTACCCTTCTCGCGATAAAAACATCTCAGGCAGGAACTGGAGGGGGGGTTGGACCAGAGGGGCAGACGACAGAGTCCAATGATGGGAGAAAAAAACGCTGCTGTCTTTGTATGTACACTTTTCTCATTGCTGTGTACCTATATTTCTTTGATTAGGTGGCGAAATTGACCCAAGCACTCGTAACTGGACATCAGTCGACGACTATCTAGCGCTGGGTGGATTTGTGGTATCTGTCCACAAGCAGTTGTTAGAATTACTTGAGCCATTTGTTGAGGACAAACACTTGGGTTGTCGAGATGCTGGCAGCGCCAGACGGCGCGTGCATTTGATGTGAGGGCAATCAGACCCGCCTTCTCAAATGGGTTCTGGTTCCGTATTTGTTTCTTCCTGATATGGAACTGGCGTTCGGCAGCTGATTACTTCAATAAGAGATTTCTTTTCCCCGTGACGTAATTCCAAATGTGTCGCAAGTCAGCCCGATCTTGGCCACCACACGCCCTTCCCGCATGCTGCTGCCGTTGTTTGGGTCGGTTCTGACACGGTCTTCATCTTCCCGTTCCACCTTGGCCTGAACCCACGGGTGCCTTGCGGGCTGATTGCTAGGGTTAATGGCGTAAGAAACACACTCATGCCTCGCCTTGTTGGTGCCCGTGGCGGGTTATGCTGTTTTTGCCACCGATGCTGCTCCCGTCGTCTGTACGCAGGCGATGACAGCGGCCGCGAGCGCTTCCGAGAACGAAAACGACAATGATACCACTACTGTCGTCGACGACCACGATAAAGAACAAGTTCTCTCGGAGACGTCCTCCATTCTGTCCACCGCAGCCACCGATGGATTGGCGGTCCCTCCCAGCGGCCCTCTTTCTGTTTCCGCATCTGGTGACGACGAAACCGTCGAAAATGAGATCGCTAAAGTGGTCGGCGGTGAGCGCGGCGGCGGCAGTCGTTGCTCGGAAAAGAGAGAATGCACCATCAGCAAGGCGAGAGACTCGAGGTACAGCAATGGTTTCCTCCTGGACCCATGTATTCTCACAGCGTGGGACGCGGAAGGCAGTTGATTCGAACCGAATTTAGCCAGCCACGTACAAAAACATATATCATGTCGTGTGACCAAGAAATTCGCACTGGACGGGGAGCCCGCAGAATTGAATTGGCCCGGGTTTCCTCCCCCGGGTGACATGTTTGCACGCTGTCGGATTTGGGTAGGCGTTCCGTGTGTTTTTCCACGTTTGGTTGGGCTACCGGGCGTATCGATGCAAGTATTTGCACTGCAGTGGAAGTGGGAAAGTCGGCCAAAGACCAAAGAACACTTTCCATTCCGCGTGGGAACGCATGAACCGGTTAGTGTTTGCTTGTGGGTCCCTATGTTCTGGTGGGTAGTGATTTGTCAATCGCCCCTTGAGAACCAACATCTCGGCCTACGAATGCCTCCAGGTACAGCACGAGGTACACGGATGTAAGCGAGCCGATATTCCCGGCGGAGCTGATGCTCAAGACACCGCCTGCCGTGTCCATCGTGGGAGACCGTGTCACATGGCACTGTCCGACGTCCCTGTCAGAGCTGCTTCGGCTCAAGGCGGCGAACCCCAAGGCCAGGATCGTTGCTGGGAACACGGAGGTAATGCTGACAGGACAACATCGGTTTGACTCGATTTGCCCGGATGGCGTCTTCTTTTGTTGCTGGGGTGATGTCGTGATTTGCCTCTTTCTAGGGTCTTGGAGTTGGCGTGTTGTGTGATGTGATGGTGCGAAGGCGGCCGACTGTGACCCTTATACACGATCTTGTTTATTTTCCATGTTCCAGTTCACCTTGAAAACGATTAGGCCTTGGCATCGCACTTCAGAAGTAGTCCCTGTAATAGGCATTTAAATGAGGCCGGTTGCCCCATTGAAAATCGCGTGACAGATAGATTTTGACGTCGTGTTGCACTGCTACGAATAGTGCTGGTGCCCGGTACAAGGCCGGCTGCATCGCTTGGTACAACGCGTCGTTGTTCAGGAACGTCTACTGTAGCCCCTGTGGGCAACGTTTCAGTCTTGACTTGTTTCAAGTCGTATTCAAATATAAAGATGCTTTTGGTCTTAGCACCAACTGGCATCACTGATAACTTAGTGTAAGGCTTACACAAACTCAAAAGAAGCCAAGTCTCCAGTCGGTTTCAATCCACTTACTGGAAGACTTCACATCCCTTTCGACTGAGTTTATATCTCGAACGGGTAGTCTTTCTGTGAGGTCATGTTTACTTTCTAAAACATACGTGGGCAAGCCCATCATGAAGGGGCGGCACGTCTTCGCGTGTGTTTTTGTGTCAACTCTTGCGCCCCCTTTCCGAACGTAGTTTTGGCTGGCTGCTTGCGTTGCCCTTGTCTTTGGGGTTGGGTAGATATCATGTGGTGGCATGAGTCTCTTGAACGTTGGCTGGTGCACGTTTGGAAACACACATCTCGAACCGGATTGATGTTCTCGGTGATATTTATGTTTCATTTCTGGAGGCTTCGTTTGATTGGGGCATGTGTGTCTCTGCACGGCGAACCAGCGCGAGATCTCGAGGTGCACTCTGGCATGATAATTTAAAGGTCGCTACGCTTTCGTTAGGCTTACAGAAGCAACCACAAAACCGTCACCGGCGACGAATATGACACTATGACACAAGATCGTGTGAAAACGCGATTTTTCGTCCAGGTTGGCATCGAGGTGAAGTTCAAAGGCATGCACTACCCGGTGCTTATCTCCCCCGCCCGCGTGCCCGAGCTACACGCCATCACGCGAGGGAGTTCAGATGACGGAGGCGTCTCTATCGGCGGGGCCGCTTCCCTGTCTTCCGTGGAGCACGCTCTCGCCGAGATTGACGGTAAGAAGGGAGCAGGAGGCGGGAACGGAGGGGCAGCCGGCGCGTGCGTTGACATGTTGAGGTGGTTCGCTTCGACGCAGATCAGGAACGTGGCTTGTCTGGCGGGTAAGAAAAACCTTTTGGTCCTGGTGGGTGGTTTGAGATGTTGGTCTGGTCATGGCGATCATTCTAAAAACGTTCGGCTGGCTACGGTGTTAGTTTTTGAGATGGCGGGGGTGGAAGGGATGATGATGATGGCACATCAGCAGCTCAGAACACCATACCTCCAACATCGCGACACGCGATACGATGTGGACACCTGTACGTATCCGCAATCGCGTTTCCTTTGACTTGTTTGGGACGCCTTTTCCCTTTTTTCACTTTCTACGTGGTACGCTTTTTGGGAAATTGAGTATCCTGCGACGGCGAAAGGTATTGAGTCTGTTGGACCTGCACGAATGTGTGCAGGTACTCAACGGACATGGGGACGAATTTATTGATGTACAGACACCTAACATTGCAGGAAATCTCGCGACCGCCAGCCCGATCTCGGACATGAACCCGCTCCTTGCCGCGTGCGGTGCGGACGTCGTCCTCAACTCGATAAGGGGCGGGGAGCGCCGCATCAAGGTCCGCGATTTCTTTCTTGGGTGAGTTGACGATCGTCATCGTCCTCCTTCTTCTTTTTGTAGGCGGTGGGGTTTGCCGCTGCTGCTGCTGCTGCTGCTGCTGCTGCTGCTGCTCTGTTTATTTATTATAGCCGTTGAGATCCAGATCCGTCGTTCCCCTTGCGCTTCCGCTATTCCTTGCGTGCGTGTGCTGTTGGCCCTAGTGTTGGTCTTGGCTGTAGGCTTTGCTGCTGCGGTTGGTGGTTACGGATTACCTCGTGAAGGTAAGTACCATCTGGTGTCTATTGTGAGGTGGTTGCCAAATCTGGTCGTCCCTGCCTGCCGATTTCAGCCGACGCACACGCACATCCCGGGCGCCCCTATATACCTAGGTACCGCAAGGTTGCGATGGAGGAGGATGAAGTCATTGTGGCTGTGTTTCTCCCCAACGCCGTTTCAGAGAAAGGCAATGATAGCCAATCGTCGCCCCCGTCGACGTTCGAGTTCATTCGACCGTTCAAACAGGTACGTGACGTGTGTCCGTGCACGTCTTGGTAGGATTTTGTGGTAAGGTGCATTGGTTCAGGCTCATGAATCAAGGCTCCCTATCAAGGGTGGGCGCAAGAAGTGACTCCAATTGGTGATGGAACAGCAGTTCGGTCTGCATGTGTAGTTTCGATTGCGTTTGCAGTCACCATCGACTGTGAGTTCATCGAGCGATCGTGAGGTTCGGGATGACGCATGTTGCCTGACCTCCGTTGGCACAAGCAAAGGGGGTTTGTTGCAGACAAGCCAGGCGTAGGAACCATTATTGTTCTGTAGCGTTCGAATGAGTTGACGACGACTTGAATACTAGTTGTGCGCACAGCGCGTCAACAGTGGATGCGGCAATGTGTTGTCATCGGAACGATAGAGCAACCTGGCGTTTCAGCCATAAGCAAGGGACCTGGGTACCATGCAGCAGAGAGGCAGCGAGAGTGAAAACACTGAGTCCTTGTGTGAAACTGTGTTGGTTGTCGGGACCCGCATTGCCAGGCGGATTCACTCAATTCCATAATGCGAGCGATGTTCTATTTTTTGTATATGGGGCGTAGGCATGGAGCTTCCTGGAATTCTCGTCTTCTGCGTTGTCAACATTTACCGCACCCGAGTTTAGTCACCCAATCTTGTTTCCAGAGAGTGAGTAAGCTCTTGTGTAAACCTGAGAGTGAATATTCACCTTTGCACACATGCAAAAGGAGAGTGAATTATCGCTGTTGCATACACACAATAGCAACAATGCTTACTCGCTTAAGCCCTCCTCCTTTCCCACAGGCTCGTAGGCGAGAGGACGACATTTCCATCGTTACCGGCGGCATACGTCTGGTGCTAGAGACACGAGGAGGCAAGTGGGTCGTGAAGGAGGCGTCCATGTGTTTCGGGGGGATGGCACCGACGACCGTTGCTGCCCCCCTCACCGAGGTATGTATTTTGGTGCTTCCGCCATCTGATCATTGTTATTCGCTTGTTTGGCAACTGTTGGTGGTGGTGTTGGTTGTGGCTGTTGTGTCCACATACAAACTTTTTCGACCCTTTCTCGACACCTTCTAACATCAAGAAATCAATCCTGGGAAAATGGCGTGCCTCAGACATCACGCCGGCCGATTACAGAAGTGAGGTGCTTCGGAGTGAGCGGTGCTTCAGGCAGAAAATAGTGCATGTAAGTCAAGAAATATTGAGTTCATATTGGAGAAATGCTACATAAGAACATGTTGCTGCCGTTGCATCCTAATGTTATTCTCCAGGCCTACCTTGTGGGCAAGGAGTGGTCGGCGGAGACCATGGGTGGAGCGTACGAGCTGCTAGCGAAGGACATGCCCCTTTCCTCCAGCGTACCAGGTATCACTTGACACTTTCTGTTTTTCGCTGTGGGCGGCACCGATGCCTGGCAACTTCCTTTCGCTCAGCGCTGTGGTGCCACTAGCATGAGAGCAGGTTCACGTGTTGATATCCAGTCGCGGTTGGGTTTATTCTCGCCTTGTTGGTTTCGCGACGATTTCCCACCGATACTCTTTAAAAGGCAGCTAAAGTTCGTTAGTCGGTGGGTATTGTTGTCTCGGATCTTGAGCTCCCCATTTCCCAAGGCAATTTTGCGGGTGTAGGTACACGTGGGTTCGTTTCCAAATCTCCTGGCACGGTTTTTGGGCAAGGCCAGGGATTCCGCCAATTTGTCGATGGGCCAATGACTACAGAGTTGTCCCACCCTTTTTTAGATATACAAGTTTCAAGGAGAGGCAGACTTCTGGTTCCCGAAAAATCTGAACTTGGAGTCTAGAAAGATGGCCCCGCGGTGGATCCTACACTTCACCCCATATCGCAGTCCGTGCTCGACGATGTCATACAAAATGAAACCGACCTAACCTCCACCCGGATTTGACGTCGCTAAGTACTATAGCGGGCCGGTACTGCTGTACGATTCGCACGGGCGATTCTACCTGCATGCTCACGATGCCGATCTGGATCTACTCGGTATTTCTTGGAGGGCCGGGGTGTTGTCTCGTAGTCATAGGGCTGTGTTGGGGTTGTGTTCTGTCGCGTAGTGCTCTGTCTGTCAACATGGTCTCTCTTGCCATCGAGGCCAATATTTTTCTGCTGCCCCCCACCCCCGTCCGGTTTCACATGTGGTCTGAAAGGTGGACAGTGCGAGTACCGACGGGCCTTACCGCCGTCCTTCCTGTTCAAGTTCTTCATCGAGGTTTCCCTTCGACTTGAGGCATTATCGCTGGAATCCGACGGACAGCTTCCTCCGCCACCGGTCATTGGAGACGCCGACAGGTAAGAACTATTCGTTACGTGTTCGGGAAGGTTGACAAATGCTTATCCAGGTTTGTCTTCGCCATGTGGCTTCAAATTTTGAGTACGCGTCAGGCCGGATCTTTTCTCTCTTACTGCGTTTACGCCGGGTGTCATCCCTCCAGGTCTGCGGCAACGAACTTCGTCACCGCGCCAAAGCCCCCGAGCAGGGGACAGCAGGAGTACACACCTCGGGTACGTGGCACGCTGCATGCTGCACGCTTGTCATTCTTGCCATTCTGGTCGTTGTCGTTGGTCGATGCTGTCATCGGTTGGACGCTTCTGTACCGTCAGGCAACAGGCAAGGCAACAAGCAGGATTGTTCCAAGAGTGAGCAATACAGGGCATTCGGGGAGAAGGCGCTTGCTTTGGGGTTTGTTTCTCGGGTACGTCACTAGGCGGCAACGTCTGACGCGCGACTCCACGCTCGTTGCAGGGCAGGGCGAGTGGGGTGGAGTGACGCACGCCGATTCAATGTCATGTTTCCAGGACTACGTCGGAGCCACGGACGGTAGATGTGTCGACTACCTCATTCGCTGTTGACGCTCGTAGGGGTCATGTTGTTCTTGAGTTGGACTATTCCGCTGACGCCAACACGAGCCACGCGGCATGCTGGATTTCTTTCATGAGGCCGTGTGACGTCACACATCCCCCTTTTTTCCTTGGGTAGGTGAAGGTACAATCCTGTGCTGTTGCGTTTTTTCATCCATCCTTCTGTTCTTCACATCTAATATTGGAATGAAAATCAGGATCACTTGGGGGGGGGTGTAGGATCACTTGGGGGCGAGTAAATCAAGATGAACCAGAGCTGAGACCTCCCTTCAACAGACAAAAAGATTCCCCAAACAAATGGATCATCGAGGTTCGGCGTCCTCCAGGTGTTATTCATTCCTGGTCGTGAACACGGCCGACTAATAGAGGGTGCCGATGTGTGCAAGTTGCCACAGTCGAGGCCCACCCTTATTTACCTTGTACGTTCGATTTCATGCAGACGGGGGGAATGCAGAGGGCACGCCCACAGCCTCACACACCCGTTGTTCGCGACGAAGAAGCCACGGGCAGGACCGAAAACACCAAAACGAAGAAGGTCGCACTGGAGGGGGGTGTTGGAGACCCCGTCCCACACAAATCAGCGGATCTTCAGGTAACAGCTAATGTTGTTGTTTCCAGTAGTGACTACGGTGATGATGGCATTGTGCTGGGTTGTTCCGCTATTCAGGGTTATGTGGCGTTGGACGTTAGGCGGGCGAGCGCACTACACAGGCCGCTCTCCTCTATAGACGCAGAAAGGCGGCGATGCTCAAGTCTCACCGAGAATACACAGGCGTCCTACACCGTACGAACCATCCGGACTTGTGCGCTTCGATTTAAAATGAATCAGGTGACGGGAGAGGCTGTCTACACAGACGACATGCCGTCCCCTGTGGGTACCCTCTTCGTCGGCCTGGTTCTCTCCACGAAACCCCACGCCAAGCTACTGGAGGTCGACCCCTCCCCGGCCCTGGAGGTGGAAGGCGTTTTGCGGTTCGTGGGTGCCGGGGACGTTACCCCGGAGCGGAACGGCATCGGTGCCGTGGTGGTGGACGAACAAGTGTTCGCCGTTGACGAGGTTTGTATTGCTGCACCGCCTTTTTGTGTGTTCGGTGTCGCCCTTGCTTTTGTCAACAACGTACAAGGTTTCTACTGGAGCGCCTATTTTTTGCATTCGGCGTTTTGCCTTTTTTTGCGTCAAATACATACAGCATGTTTTTCATGGTGCTGCTGTACCTTTTCTTGTGTTCGTTGTCGCCGCTTCTTTTCTTGAAGCGGCGCGAAGGGGGGTATTACTATACAGTGTCATTTTGTGGCCACAAGTTGAAAAGCTGGTCCGAATTGTGTTACGCGTGTGATAATCACGGTTAACGTTGATCGCTCTTGGGGGTTTGTTCTGCGTCGACAGGTTCACTGCGTGGGGCAGGTTATCGGAGCCGTGTTAGCGGAAAGTGCTGCACTCGCGGAGAGGGCGGCGAAGCTCGTGACGGTTCGATACGAGGAGCTTCCGTCCATAATGACTATTGAGGATGCCATCGCCGCCGAAAGGCAAGTACTCCGTCCGATTTCCGGTACAGGGTGCGGTTTGCACTTTCGTGGTTTCAATGCTCGATTGAACGTGCACGCTGAAATGTTGGTTTGAAACTACACTGCAATCGTTCCCTGCAGTGGCAAGCAGCCTTTTTTCTCTTTTCTCTTTCTGCTTTGTGGTGGTGTGTGTATTCGCGTTTGGTCCCTGCTCAATACGATGGACAAGCAGTTTGATGACTCTCCCGTAGCGCTTCGTTCCCCTCCCTCTCGTTGCATTTCTCCCTTGTATTGTGCCGCGACTGGTTCGTGGCATCAATTTTCCTCCCTTGCGTGCTGTTGCCCCGCTTGTACAGCTACTACAGCGATAGGCATGCCATTGTGGATGGTGACGTCGACAGCGCCTTGAAGGACGCCAACGTCGTGGTCGAGGGCGAGATGGCGGTAAGCTTATGTATGTAGAAGCTGTTGTGGCCGTTGGGATAAGTCTTGTCCACGAAAGAAGGAGCCAAGTCAGATGTCATACGAAAAGGCCGGGGTGCAGACTTCAAGCAAAAAAAAACGGTGCAAATGGGTCGTTGATTAGGCTCATTTTCATTGATGAGTGCTTTCACATTTGATGAATACGGAGTTCGGGCCTTAAGCTGGGTATGCAGCGGTCCTTTTATTTGGTGAAAATTGAAATTTGGTGCTTGATTTGTTTCGCCGACGGACAGCGAACGTCGGCAAACGCCCTGTCTTTTTCCGATCCTGGAACGACAGGCTCCAGGAGGCGATGCTCATGCGCAGTTGACGGTTGCGCATGCACCGATTGTGTTTCACAAGCTGCAACCCAGTCGGGGCAAGATAAATGGGCGTTGCATAACCACAGCACCCCGCGAACTGCAAGTTTCAAGCCATCACCTCACGCAGACTCGGTGTGGTTTCATACCTGCTTTTGCTGCCATGCCTCCGTCCCACACGATATTTACAGATCGGTGGGCAAGAGCACTTCTACCTGGAGACGAACGCCACCTTGGCGGTGCCCGGGGAAGCGGGGTCTTTGGAAGTCTTCGCGTCCACACAGAACCCCACCAAGACGCAGGATTTCTGCTCCAAAGTGTGTGGTATCGACAAGAACAAGGTGGGTGAGGTCGATGGCGCGGGTCTCTGCGGGATGAGGGCACTGGGACAGTTGAATCTATCGTCGTGTTGCTGGTCGAATCGTTGCTGCTCGTGTTATTGCATGCGGGTTGCGTTGTGTGGTAGATCGGCCCTTCTCGTTGTTCGCCGTGTTGATACCGTGTGATGCTTCTGCACGACGCGAGCCGTCGCCCTTGTCGGCGTCGTGCAACCGCTAACCTAACCCTAGCCGCTTCGTACGAACAACGGCCCTTTCGAATCTCCTAGGTTGTCTGCCGCACGAAGAGGATGGGGGGAGGGTTCGGTGGCAAGGAGACTCGTTCCGTGTTCTTGTCGTGTGTGGCTGCTCTCGGGGCCCACTTGACAAAACGGTGCGTACGGTACGGAAGTGGGTGGTTGGAGCTTCCTTTCCCAATTCTACAAAAATACCCATCGGGTCACACGTGTGCCACGGTGTTCTGATTCATTCGGTGGAGACCTATTCCACGTCCCTACCAAACCTGACGGGCTTGTTGGTGAGGTCGCATTGTTCGTGGCAGACGTGTTTAGCCTCTGTTTCGCCTTTGATTTGCTCGAGTGTTCTTTAGTCTTAACCATTTCCGTGGACGAGACTAACGCTACTTTTTATCCGTTTATTTTTCTTGTACCAGTGCGATCGAGCAATATTTCCGTGTGCCCGAAAAGTATGGACCCGGCGACATCGCAGCCTCTTGGTGCTTAGACTACTCTTCTTCGTTTGTCACGTTTTTATCTTGCCTTGTCCTGGAAGAGTTTTGAAGCTTCCGACCTTTGCCGGCCCCATCGGGCTTTGGCGACCAAGTGGAAATCGCCAGTAAGCGCGATGAAGGCACCGAATGTACATTTTGTCACTCGGGGTCCCGTGGTTTCTGGCATTCTTGATTTTCGTAGCTTGTTTTTGTCGCTCACTCTCCCACGACTTGTTGGACGTTTTCTATCGCGCTTCTTGTACCTTATTGCCGGCATCGCGTATGACCATGAAAATCGTTGAATTTGAACAAGGTGGGAGAAGCGGCACTTTACACAAGCAACACAAATTTTAGCTACTGAGGCCAACCGGAAGAGCAACAGCAACGACGTCTCGAGATTCTCGGGTCCCCGCCGTAGGACTGTTGTCAGAAAGATGTCACATGAAATGAGTTGACGTCACCACTTATTCTGCTGCTTGGGTTGGCTTGTCATGCGTACATGGTACTCGCAGACCCGTGAGGATCTGTCTTGACAGGGACGTGGACATGCAGATCACCGGACACCGACATGCCTTCCTCGCCAAATACAAGGCCGGTGCTACAAAGTGAGGTTCAAAGAGACTTCGAAGATTTGCTTGGTATTAATTTTTGAACACGACACGGGCTTGTCGATCATGGCTAGCATCCTCTCCGGCAGAGGCAGAAAGGTCCGGGCGTGTCGAGCAACCTTGTGCCACCCAATTTTGTGGGCTTGGCGTTGGCGGCTTTTGATGCGATTTGCGTCCAGCCAAACGGCCTGACACATTCGGTGTGATCACTCGTAATTGAGGTGAGGGAGAATGTTTCGCGTATTCCGTGTTTGTGCGCTCCTTTGGGCCGCAACGCAACACATGTTTCCTGGGTGCGTCGTGCGCATGTCCCCTTGGCGGCTCAGGGATGGCAAGCTGGTCGGCATGGACGTGACGCTGTACAACAACGCTGGGTGCAGCCTGGATCTGTCCTCGTCTGTCATGGACAGGGCGCTCTTCCATATCGACAACTGCTACAGGTAAAGCTGACGATACTCGCGCAGATCTCGTCTTGCCGCCATCGTTTTCACTGTTTGTTGCCGCGGTGTTGTAGTTGTGGACATTAGCGGCGCTTACTTGTCACCCACTTTATTGGCACATTTTTTGGTAACTACTACTTCTGATGGCGTCAGGCAGCTCGAATCCCCTGATTCACTTGGTTGTTTTTTCGCTCTGTGCATTATCAGCTGGCCGGCCCTCCGCGCGAAGGGGTTGGTCTGCAAGACAAACCAGGCCTCTCACACGGCCTTCCGGGGCTTCGGAGGACCACAGGTAGGAAGCCCCGCCCCGCATGGACTTTCCAGTTGGCTTACCGCCATGCTTTGGATACTCTCCGTCGGCGTCGGTTTGTGAATATTTAGGAGTATCTTGCCGTACATTGCTTTCCAAAGCTTCGGAAACAGAACCTCAAGTGGAATTCCCCCCCGCGGTCTCCCTCAGCAGCAGTTCCATAGCGAGGCTCACAGGTCGCTGGGTTTCAGATCTTAAGCTCTGCGTTCGGTCGGCCGACAGGGAGTTTCAGGTCTGCAAACACGGACGTGTTTTGTTTTCGGGGGTTGTGTCTGGGAGATGACCTTTTGCGCATGCTGGGGTGCCATGACCTCCGGCCGCAGAAGGCGCTGTTTTGTGCTTTCTCGACATTCGTTTGCCCCTGGGGAGCTACCATGGCCGCTCGCAAACGTTGTCACGTAATGCGGGACAGCCGGAGTTGGAGAGTTGACAGGCACAGATTTCTAGCACACTTGTGTGGTTCTCATTTTGCAACACCGCGGAAAAATGGGAGTGGTGATGTCGATCTTTTCGTGACTCATTACCCTTGCGCACCCTTCTAAAAAGAACATTTACCGTAGACATCATTGAACTTTCTCGTCTTGGGCTCGGTGGTGGTGCACTGGGCTCTTCGACTCTACGATGCCGTCTAGGTGGGCGATACGAGCTTGGAGAACGTCGCTGCTGGCAGTCAGCTTTCATGGTTTCGTTATCGCCTCGCATCGCCCCTTGATGGCACTTCACTCTCATGAGCCCACTCCGCTGGCCACCCTTGCAACCCTATGTTTTCCTTTCCGCCTGATTTTGTGTGAAGGGTATGCTTGTCACCGAGACGGTGATGGACCACCTCGCCTCTTCCTTGGAAATGGACTCGTTTGTATTGCGCACGCTCAACTTGTACAAGGTCAGTGGACATTCACCTTTCTGACCAATGCCGCAAGATAGGTCGTACAGACTTTGAGATGACCGAAGGTTAGGAATCATGATGCAGAAGGCGGGGGGGGTTGAGGTGTATGTTCGGGGCGGGGTTGCCCTTGTTGCGCGCATCGAGACGGGGGACAAGGACAGCGCCTAAGGGGTCATAGTCACATTCGAGGACTGCACGAAGGAGGAGAATAGCAAAAGCTGTGCTCGGTGAGAGCTATACACAGTAGTGTGAGACGAAATACGCATAGTCGGCTGATACAGAGGCTGGACCAGAGGCAATTCCTAGCTTTCCATGTTGGCCCGCCCACCATGTACCGGACGAGGACGCATCTCGGTGACACTCGCCCGCCTCACGCCATTGTCTAGCTCACAGGTCCATCTCGATCATTCTAGCTTGCCGAGAGTTCATAGCCTGTCTTCCCTCCCACGATCCTCGCTTTTCATGTCCTCGATGACTGCAGCCGGAAGAGCCAACTCACTTCGGGCAGCCCTTGGAGGCCTGGAACGTTCCCGCCGCTTGGAAGGACATGCAGCAGTGGGCCGACATCGAGCGCCGCCGCAAGGAGGTGATGTGATACATTTTTTTTGTTCGTTTCTTTTGTCTGCTCTCAAGAGAATGCAGCACAAGGCGCCACGCGAATTTCTTGCAAGTGTTGTGTTTTCGAGAATTCGCCTAGTCTTCAACGATAGCAGCCAGTGTTGTTCGTTTTGAGCGCCACAAGATGGCAGGCCTGCTGCGTGTGGCTTTGTGGCGCCACCTCCTTTGCGCTCGAACTCCAGCCTCTAGCCATGCGAAAGGCGTACTGCCAATAAATGACGTCGGTTTGTACCATTTTTGTGGAAAGAGTCACCGTCAGACTTAAGCTCCATGTAAGGACGAGGTAAACGGAGGGATAACTAGGCTGGTCTTGGCATTATCGTAATGTTGTCGAGGGTATGTACGCGAGACGCGCGATCTAACACCCCCTGTGCAATTTGAGAGATTATTTGATTGATCCGATCTTGCTCTCATGTCGGTGTGTCAGGTGGACGCGTTCAACTCCTCCAGCCGGTACAGGAAGAGAGGACTCGCCGTTGTGCCGACAAAATTCGGGATCTGGTACGTCTCTTGCAACGCGTTCTGACCCATGGCCTTGGTTGTGAAAGTTCGCCCCGGCACCTATTTGCTTGCATCAAACAGCCCGGAAACAGCCCGGAAACAGAGTTGCCGTTGGAGTGGGCTTACGGGTGGAGTTCACCATTACGTAGAAGCCCCGGGTGCCTCTGGTGTTACCCACGCTTGTTTCGTCTGTTTGCTCGTCAATTGCACCTCGGCGTGCCAGCTACAGCACGGCATGGTCTCTCCCCTTCACGGCAGTGTTTCTTCCAATGGTTTGATTTTTGTGTACCATTCGAACATCGCGACGACCCTCTCCTTCTACCCCTCCCCACCATGCTTTGGTATGTTTTGCAGCCCCAAGCTTTCCGGCTCATTCTTTGAACGCTCATCCAACCCCACGTCAAGAAAGTGCCGGGTCAGGTTTATTCTTATTTTTCCATAGGACGGATGTAGTTCTTCGGTCCCGGCCGGCATATCACTTGTACCCTTACCCCCCCCATCGCCCCCCCCGGTGTTTACCATCGGGGTTGGGTTTTCGTCGCTTGGCAACGACGTTGTAAAACAAGCCGCCCCTCCCGGTGTTTGCCATCGGGGTTGGGTTTTCGTCGCTTGGCAACGACGT